TTCGGAGTCAATAATATAATTAGGTTATTGTCTTGCTTTGTAAAAATACACATGAGACGTAAAAAAAACTAATAAATTGGTAGGAGAATGGACTCAAAATACACGTTCATATTAGAAAGCATAATTAATATGAGCGCTAATTGTCTAGTTTAATTAAATGATAAGCTTCCTACTGTGATCTTGCCTCTTAATCTTTTAGTTAATGCTCAACAGGTGCGATAATTTTCTTGAACAGTTGAAGTTCCGCCCAATTACTTTAACCGCAAGCACATGTCCTCGAATAAATCATTTTAACTGAGCTGCGTTTTCCCCGATCACGTTTCGGCGATTTATAAGCATTTAATTGTTTGATTATGGCCAGCTTTGCCCGAGGTTTCTTATTTCTTATTTCACATTTCTCTAATTTCAAATTATGAGCATTTAACGGCTCCGAAAGAGGGGAGAAGAGGCGACACGAAACGAAACCCAACCTGCTGCCTTGGCTAGTTGACTATAATCGTAAATTTGTGGATATAGAGAAGAGGTCGGCGGTCCGGGGAGGGGTAGTAGGTATCATAAAAGAAGACGATTTTTGTCACTAAATGCTGCTGCCGCGATGAAATTAAGAAACCAGCGAGCAGCCTCCGAAGCGAGCGGAACCATAAAATATATTTTTTATACGCTCTGCCCACTTCTCTCTGTCTTTCTCTATATATACACACAGCACAGCATATAGTGGTGGTTACCTGCAGACTCCGCCGGGGTCCGGGAATGGTAAAATGGGAATTGGGAACGATCTCGCCTCTCGTTTTTTTTTATTTTTCAACTGATGTCATCCCAAAACGCGCCGTTCTGCCGCTGCAAAAAATAAGAATTTATGACCAATTTTCTGCCGCTTGTCTCCGCATTATCCACTCCTTTCCAGCTCATCCTTCCGCTCGTTTTTTTTCGCTCGACGCACAATTGAAAAACTTGTTTTTCCTGCCACCTTTACGATTTGTTTGGTTTGTACTGAAGGTTAAGGACACGGACGACATCTTTACCTGACAGTATTAGAGTATCAAACGGATCTAATGCTGCCCGGTAAGATGTGAACAGATGTCCTTGCTAAATAGCAAGTTTTCGGCATTCCATTTGGTTTGGTTGGTTGTTTTTACAAGTTTTATAATCTCCATTTCCAGAGGAAGCTCAAAGTCCTCAAAGAAAACCTTGGAACATTGGCCCCTTGGCGATAAGAAATTCTTTGCGATTTTATTTAAATGTTTTTTGTTTTTTTGGTTTGTCGGTCTGTTTCTCGCTTTGTAAATTTAATCCCATAACGAGTATTGATTTTTTTCTCTGTGTGGGTTGTGGGTTGACAAAAACGAAAACAAAGCCAGGCTCCATTAGATGGCTTAAACGTGTGTGTATGTGTGTGCTTTAAGTTACCCAATAAACTTTAACTTTGAACCGGCGCGCGTGATTTTCCGGGGCGTATAAAACGCCTACTTTGACGCAGGAAAAAACGAATAAAAAGTTGAACATGTTATTTATAATTAAATTGAAGCTGGCGCCATCCGATAAATGCAATTATTATTGTTACGCGAGATGCACACATACACTGCGACACTCCGTATCGTGTGGCTGTTGTTATTCTTGATTTTTAATTTTTTTTTATTTTTTCGGCCACCGGAAACATGCACAATAACGCCCGCACACACATGCAACTGAAAAGAGCAGAGCGAACAGACCGTCACGATCAAGCACCAAAAAAGAATTGAAAGCTGCGGCGCCGGCGAGTTTTGTTTTGCCGTCGGCTGCGCTGCCCGCGGTTAGAGATGGGAGCGTTTTTGGGGCGTGACACGAAGGCACTCGAGACCACGTGTTTTCCAATTAATTGTGGTTCGGATTCGTGCCTAGGATGTATATTTAATTTTTTTGTAGAGTTAAAATTGGTCGGGATTTTTCTCAAACTAAAAAAAATAAATTTAAATTGTTGATTTTAATATAAATTTAGTGAAATTTTAACAAGACTTCGTTATGTTGGAAAATATACAATTAAGATAGTTTGGACTACAAGCATTCAAAGTAAATAAGAAAGGTATATCATTTAAAGCCAGATGTTTGTAACTAAGTGAAGAAGATAACAAGTTGAAATGAATCTTATTGCGGCACGCGACCATCTCTAGCCGCGATCTTCGGACGGCAGCGACGTTGGCAGCGCTGCTTCAAACATGTTGCAACGACCACGACGTTGTTGCGTTGCCGCTTTTGTCATTACGTATACGCATACGTATACGTGTGATTTGATTTTTAACTGTGACACATTCCTTTGTCGCGTATATTGTAACGGTTTCTCGGCGTCGCTGTCACCGCTCTTTCTCCTATCAATTAGACGCCCCGACCCTCCTCTAACCACCCCCTCACCCGCCCACTGACTTGCTTTCCCGCCTCTTTTTAATTTTAGTGGCTTTCATTGATTAATCAAATTGAAATTGAAAAGAGGGGCTTGAAAATCCAAAAATAGATTTTTGATCTTTTAATTTTCTACTATATTATCGTTGCACATAAATTTAAATATAAGGGAAATAAAAAAGTATCATGATTTCCTTATCTACAATTGGACCAACGGCTTACTATAACTGTACTCTGTGCAACGTAAAATGAATTAGTAATAAAAGCATTTTTGGAGTCACCTTTTATTAAAGGTTTTCACCTTTCTCTAATGATTATACTTTTCTAGTCAAGCTCTTTAACTCAAAATTAATTAATGGGTTAATACTTTCTATTGATCTCTTTAAACTTGGTCAGAGGTTAATTAGGCTTGCGAATAAATATTATTTTATGGTTTATTAATACATTTTTATACAAAATTTGGCGGGAGACTTAACAAAGTCTTCGTTTCACGTAAACTTTTATATTTTCTGCAGTTTTCTTTATTTCTTAAAAAAAAATTGGTTACCTGTATTCTTTAGATTTTCTGAGTTGAGAAGAATTACTATTTTACCCAATTGTTCTTCTCTTTTATACTATTCAAACTAATTTTTCCCGTTTTTTCTCTGTTAAATTTTTGCTGACACCTGTTACCTTGGCGACTTGGTTTTTCCATGGGCCCTTCTGTGATTATTAAATCATGACACGAAGTTTGGCTTCCGTCAACGTTTACAGGAATTTTTTGTGTTCTTTTTTTGGCTGCGGCTTTCATTAACACATTTCGTTTGGCATTGCCTAATTTCAATGTTAATCAATCGTGGAAAATTTGCTTAATTGCCTTTAATTTTTGGGCATACAACAAATCAGTGAGTCAGCAATGGAGACACGTGTAAAAGTTCTGGACGCCAGGCTTTAATTCGCGCGTTTTTTCTTTAATTTTTTCTGGCAGTTGGGTGAATGATCGGATCGGATCCGGCGGAGCTGGAAATGTGTGAAACACGCGTAAAGCCCGGTAGGTGTTAAAAATATCGGTTGGCTCTCGATCCGCACACACACACTCGTCACGAATTAGAATTCATTAGAACTTATTTGGAATTTCTCTTAACACTTGACCGAGTTTCGGATGTTGCACTTGTCCGCTCCTCTTGACTTTTGATTTCCTCAAGGGTTCAGGTTATGTTTTGAGGTTTTTGGGCTTTTACTGTTTACTGATTTCTATTTTCTTTGTGTTTTTTATTCTACTTTTTATTTCTATTTTGCTGGACCTTTACGTCCATTGGCGCACGAGGCCCACGATCAACTGTATTCATAATAACGTTCAGATTTGGGGAAACTATACCTTCGTTTTTGCTCTGCCCGAAGTTCTGCCGACGCTATGTTAGGTGTTGGACGCTGCTAACAGACCGCTGTTAGTTGGGTGAGAGCGAACCTCTGCCCGAAGACGTGTGTACTAACGTTCATACTTGGCGAGCTATATGAAAGATGTCTTTTAGACTTAGCGCCTTGCGTCGCAACGTTGGCAGCACGACGTCGAACTTGTTGCGTGTCACACAGCTGTTCCCCCGGCTCGCTCTCTCCCGCTTGCTCTTACTGGCCCCCGTTCTTGTTATTTGTTGTCGCATTTCTATTAGCCCCCACCGATGGATAGAGCCATCTCGCTCCGGCCCACAGCTCCCCGGCATGTTGCGCCTAGACCTGTTGGCATCTCGCTCACACCGAACATGTTGCAACCGCATGGTTTTTGTAACACTTACGTTGCCTTTTACGTCTGGTTACGTCGCTCCTGGAAAAGTCGTAAGCCTAGTGTGATTTCCTCGGTTATTATTTTTTAATATCTTGCTTGTCTTCATTTCTTATTTATTATTTTTTTTGGCACATAAGTATTGTAACTTATTTTTGGCTTTCCCCTCGCTTTTGGCGGGCTGTCCAAAAATGGACATGTTCACTCAATTAATAAGAGCAGCCCTGCGGCAGATCAGCTGGCACCCTACAATGAAAATTGAGATTCACTTAGTTCACTTTAATGTTACATTTTTAAAAGTTTTTTCCTTTTGAGCTCTATCGAATCAGTTAAAATGTTACATATATTTTTTCATTTAATAAATTATATTAAAGTCGAACTTTAATAGCACAAAACCATCATCTGCTTGACAATAAGTTCAAAATAATGTAGACTTCTAGTTATAGATTTGGTTTAAACTTTACTAGTACTAATACTTTCTATTGTCAACAAATTTAGTTTGACTGTGCTTTTTAATTTTACCATAAAATCATATATTGTTTGCTGGCTCACATTAATTTGTTATAAAACAAAAAAACTTTTAAGTCTTCCTGTATTACTATTTCTGTACTTTCAAGGCTGGCCCTTTTTTTCGAGACGTTGGCTGTCAGGATCAAAATCAAAGAGCCTCAGGACTTAGGGATGTGTATTGTAATTATGTGCATATTGGCCGCACAGTAGGGGTCTTTCAGTGTCAACTGCAGCCGCACTCACAAATTGTCTGGCCGAAAAAGCTTTCGGGATTTCAGTGCTTCATTTCATTTTTGGTTTGGGGTTATTCTTGTCTTTCCCGTTTCATGAACATCATGCCGAATCTCCTTTCCTCCAGGGTGGAGTGTTCTGGAGAAGGGAACGAGTCCTACCTGCCCAAGCTGGCGATTCCAAGTCCAAGTCCCAGTCCAATCCCATGCCCATGCCCATTCTCATGCCCATACCCATACTCGCGAAAAGATCTGGTTTTCAATTTTTCTTGTATGCCGTTTTCTTCGCCTTATAATTTTTGAATTTTTTCACTCGGGTTGAAGGACCCGACCGAAACCCTTTTCCTGTTTTTCGAGCAGATTTGTACGCCAGCGGCGGCTAATTAAAAAAACCAAGAAAAAATCCAGGAGGGGAACCAGAATCGTACGAAAACCAGAATATGCTGGCAAAGATATCACTCCCGATCTGACGTGTGTATATGTGGGTCAGTTTTGCGAGAAGACAAATGAAGTGCGCATTGTCGAGTCATTTATTTATGGTCAAAGTCGAGCAATGTCGGGGCTTAAAATGAATAAATACCACGGAAGTTTCCATAAAATATGAGCCACCGAATTTACATCCCGTCCTCACCGAACTTGGAAATTGGAGATCCACCGCCAAACTTAATGTTTCCATTTCCATCAGGCAAAGTAGATCCTTCAGGCTTTGTGGTGCCCCTCTTGTTGCCTCCTTTTCCCTTGGATCGCTCTTTGCCACTTCTTGCAGCGGCTTCCTCGCCTTCCGCTGGAGCTTCACCCTCGGCCGCTCCTTGCCCGCCCTCTGCTGCTGGGGCGCCACCGCAGTTCTTCCAGGCGGCACATGTCCAACAGCATTGCGGAAAATCCACGTCCGTCAAGACAGCAGTTTCAACGCACTCCGCAAAAGTTACGGGTATCTGGCAGCTAAAGAGGTTAGGAAGTTGGAAAAGTTAAAGGATGTATTTAAAAGCTGGTCCCTATTTAAGTATCTAAAGTCACTAAAGTCTAGAAGGGAAAACCTATTTTCCAATGCTAATTCCATATATGATAAACACTATTTATGGGTCTTTAGTGATTTGACAAGAACTTACAAGTAGACAAAGGCATCTCCTTCTAGATTTTGGCACGTAATAACTCCGCAGGTTTTATCATCCTGCTCAATATCACCCACAGCCATCTCATTGCCTTTGGGAGATTTGCAGCCGTTCGCTGAAAGAAATCCCAGAGTTTTGTATTCTGCTTGGGGATATTGGATTGCCTCCACATACCTCCTTTTTCCAGTTTTAGATAATGTACTAGGGCAATCGAATAGGAGCAACTGGTGACCCAGGCAATCGCTACCAGGAGGTACCTCATTTCGGGTGGGTTAATGAAAACACTTTGAGGATCAGCTCCTCTGCTTGAACCCTTTTATAGAACCCACTGAGTGTCACCCAATCCCTTTGCACACCTGCAAGATCTCGCTCAGTATAATCAGAATTTAATGTTTACCGATATAACGATGTTTATGTCTCGGTGTAAGGAAAATTGACGAAGTTCCTAAAAGACTCAAAAAGACGTTTTCAATGAGACCCGATAAATCCGAATAAGTCTTTTTAAAAAGAAAATGCATTTAGGCATACATATGTACATATACGAAAAGAAGAGTTAACATCACTAAATTTGGGTAACCAACAATGCAAATTTCAGGTGATCCTGAGACAACAGAGTTCAATTAAAGTCACTTTGGAATTTACAAAAAATAAAAATGGGCCGTGGGGGTTCCAGCCCGCTGTTTGGCCTCCACGGCTGCACAGGCCGCCTTGTAGGCCGCCTGCTTGGTCTTCTCGAAGTCGTCGTGGGCACTGACCAGCTGCTTCTGGAGCACTCCCATCCGGTTGCGGGCGGCCTCCAGGATTTGCGTCTTGGAGGCCATTTCCTGCTGCGACCCCTGGGCCACCGCCTGGATGCCGGCGAGGGCATCCCGGGCGTTCTTTTGCAGCTCACTGATGGCCTCGAACTGCTGGGTGGCCACGCGGGCCGACTCCACGGCGGCGTTCATGTTGGCCTCCGTGCGGTGGATGGAGCTGCTCTCCTCCTCCACGACGGCCGTGGCCTCCTGCAGTTCCTGCTCCAGTTGGTCGACCATCATCTGCTTGCCCATTAGGGCGGCCTCGGCGGCCTTGGCCGACTGGAAGGCCTTCTCGGCCAGCTCCAGCTTGATGTGGTGGGCAGCAGCTTGTCCGGCTGCCGCCTGCGCCTCACTGGCCGCCTTGGCATCGTTGGCCGCCTTGATGGCTATCGCGGAGGACTTCTGCTTGGGATCGCCGGGCGTGAAGATTGTGTTGACATTGCACTTGGCCCCACTCCCCCCTGGACTCCCACCTCCTCCCTCGCAGTTGTTTGGGTTCGCGGGCTTGCCGCTGGGATCAGTTCCTGCTCCTGTTCCCGTTCCCACCCCGGTTCCTGCTCCTGTTCCCACTCCTGTTCCCGCTCCCCCTCCCGCTCCTGCACCCCCCGCATCGTACAGAGCCGCATCATGACCAGCCTTTGTGGGTGGAACCACTGGCGATCCTGCTCCCTTGATAGCCGCAAAATCGTTCATGAGCTCTCGCGGATCGATCATTCGCTTGTGCAGGCGGCAGTGCCTCTGTGATGGGAAGGCCAAGGAACAAGTTGGGGATGTTAGCGATGGGGTATCTCACTTGCCTTGACCCGGACGTGGCCATGGGTGCAGTGAAGCAGCAGGCGAAGGAACAGCAGGTACATGGCCAGCGATCCTCGTATTCGCATTAAGAATGTTGGATTGGGATGAAAAATGGATTTTATTCGCTGCGGATTTCATTCGATTGATTTGTAGCCCAAAGCTGACTGGTTATGTGGCTATTTTGTTGGTAAAGCTATCTGTGAGTATTATTATGGGTGAATATAATGTGTAAAATAAAGCCAAAAACAGAATACTTAACTGTATACTTTAATTATAGATATACATATACCAGGTATTAATATAATAGAAATCCCTGTAAAACCTGGGCAACCATCCCCTAAAAGCCATTCCAAACCTTTCGTACTCCCCCGCGTTCCGCCTCTCAAGATCTGTCTGCTCCGTCTATCCACCTATCTATCTATCTCGCATCTCACAGATACTCGCTGCATTCTAAAGTGTCTGCGAGTGATGAGCACGCGGCATTTACAGACCCGGTCCCAAAACAAAGAGAGCACCGAATAGAATATAGAATGCGAAAAAAGGAGAAGCACGATGGGGAAACAAGCCATATAGACACGAATTGCTACAAAAATGCCAGCTATGCTAGAAGTAAATGCTAAAACTAAAGGCGCACCGCAAACTGACGGCTAGACAGAGGTGGACACAAACGAATACGGACGGACGGACAAACGGACGGACACGGGAGACACACTCGCGGACAAATGAACGGACGGAGGGCGAAAATAGTTTTGGGAGCGCCATTTAAGAGGGAAAGGAACGTCTTCGACGGCGCCGATTCTCGGCTCACATTGTCCCCTCGCCAAAATGTCAGAGTCTTAAAAATAAAAGTTAAATTTAACGCCAAAAATTTATACATTATCAAAGACTCGCAAAATGAAAAACAAAGCAATTAAACTGAAGTGATCAATTAAATGTGCTAAAGAATAAGAATTAAAATAAAGATTTCAATTTTAGTAGAGATTGCTTAAAGATCAAATCATTGGGAAATTGGGAAAAAATGTCAGATTTTTTTTCTTTATAATTTCGAACTATAATCTTGTTATTTCTTTAGAAATATAAACAATTAATTTAATCAAGAGTAATAAATTACAAAAACTTTAAGTGTTTCCAGAAACCATAAACAAACTAGTGACTCTTAATTCATTTGATTTTTCAAACCCAAATGTAATTAACTTATGCCTTAACTCCCTTTGGATCAGACTTAAGTGCTTCAAAAATATCAGCAATCATTATGGTATCAGTTTAAATGAAATAATTTTCTAGATCGTGAATTAGTTGCATTTTCTAGCCCAAAGTTCAGCGGGGTTCAAGAATAGACTTCATCTCATTTCTCGATGGGATTCATGCGCTCAAAACATGCCCGTTTGAGGATGGGGAAGTGGAATGGGGGTAGGTTCGGAGGTTGTCAGAGATTAGAGGCTTCACTGTGTGGAATCCGCTGATAGCGTTGGACACTCGATTGCATAAGTGAGCCAGTGCCTGTCCAACTGCCCAACTGTGTCGAATGGCACATAAAGATTCCGATTCTGTCGGTTGGAAAATAACACCAACTTGCATTGCCAGTATTTGGGGGCTCGATAACACTCACGCCGAGGTCATGTCTACCACTTGGAACTGATAATTCTCAGGCAGCATTTATTTTTACTGCCCTATTAAAATAGAATTTCGAAATGTGATTACGCGTCTTCAGAATTCAATTTGCTTATCGCTCAGAGGAGTGCTGTTGCCTAGAGCGCGGAATCCCGGGTATGTCAAAGGTCATGTTCCCCTCCCTCCCTCGTGAGCCTTCGATCCCAGGCAGTCGAGATAATGGGCAATCTAATGGCCCTGATTAGCCCAAATCGGGGGAACAGTTTTGCTTTTCAATGGGTCGGAACGAACAGTTCCGCAGCCCTGATTTCCAATGGATCCCGACCAATCGAGTCGATAGAAAAAAGGATCGGTTGGCATTGAAAGCTGACACTTTGTTGTAAAATATCCCAAAAAGATTTTAAGCAGATACTGCCACGATGGGAACTTATGATAATGTAACTACATAACTCTATCCAGTATTGGGTTCTGGGTGGTTTCTGGAATACAACCCCATCACTTGAATGTCTCCTGTCAAGCGCAGTTATTCGCTCCGACTCTTCCCTGGCCACATTTCTTGCCCATTATAATGCAATCAATATTCCTACAAGAAAACGCTCCAATTATATGATGTCACAGAGAATCTCGATCTAGAGCCAACCTGCTGTGCCACCCAGTCAAGTTGTTGCAACCAGCTTCTCCCCCCGACTACTTCTGCATCCACTTCAACTTCAACTGCAACTTCAACTTCAACTTGAGCTCCGCTTCGATCTGCTTTGTTTTGCCTCGCTTTTTCGCAAGTAACGGTCGGGTGACAAGCGTAACGAGGTGGGCAGCGGAGGATGCTGGGGAGCCCATTTTAATTACACGTAATCTTTATAAATAGAAGCAGCAGGCAGAGGCAATAACCGGCGAGGATCCTCGGCCAACCAATAAAAAAGAACAGCACACCAGCTCAAGAACAAGTCGAATGCATAAATCAATAGTGCAGAGAAAAAAATGTTGATCAATTCATGGGGTTGCATCGAGAAAAGCAGTATTCAAAAATATTTAAAAGGTTTTTGTAGGTTTTTATACAAATTCAAACCTGAATCTCTTTAGATTTGATTTTCACTAAGTAGTTTCTACTTTGCGAGGTTTAAATATGGGCATCTGCATATCTGTATCTTAAGCTATCGTTTTTATATAATGAGAAAACAAAGCGGTTGAGGAATTTCAGGGATATTAATTAAATCATTTTATTTCTCAGTGCTTGAGCTGAGGAAGGCAATAAACACAGATACCAGCTCACACAGAAGCTGAGAGCGAGAAATGCCGGGACAAGCCATAAATGAGTAATTGCTGACAACGCTGCAGACCTTGTCCAGTAGCCTTGGCTTGGGCCTTCTTCGCGGGCTCCATCTATGATGGGTCCAGTGCCATTTTCGGCCAGGACGACAATCCAAAAGCGTACGCCTAGCAAACAAAACCTAAAAAGAACTATGAACTGGCTGCTACCGAAGGCCGAATAATGAATACCTTAATAAATGCGATTTTACTATTGTTAAAAATGTTTAATTCTTAAATTGCTGTTTAATTCTTAAATTGCTGGCAGTATAATTACTATAAAGATATTTTTTAAAGGGGAATAATCACTGGATTACTAACTTTATTTTATAAACAATTAAACTGGATAATAAATAGAGATCATGTTTATATTTCGCCTTGTTAATAACAGAATACAAATTAATCCAGATGTCTGCTTTTTATTTTGTATGGAGTTTAAACTGATTGTGGCATTGTAACCCCGCTATTTGTTCTGCTCTTTAAGCAGCCCTATTTAAATCTAAGCTAATTCATGGGGTTAGCCAACAAAGTGTTCATCAAGTGCCAACGAACATGCATAATCCCGGCGAGGGTATGGGCATGTCCATGTAAACACGGTCGAAGTGGGGAAAAGATGAGTATGCCAGGTATTCAATTACATTGCCCATGTCCCCCACACTTTGCCCCCATCACGAATCTCTGCTGCAGCGAACCAAACGAAAACTTCTGCAGAAAAATACTTAAAGTTATGGGCTTTTTGGAGTCGGCTTCCAGGTAAAGATGCCACCAACTCCAGCTCGGATGCATGCCTCTCTAACGGTTTGGGCATTGCGTTAATGATACTCGTTTGTATCAGTATTCGTATTCGTATTCGTAGTCGCATACTTATTCGTATTCTTATTCGTATTCGTATCTGTATCTGGCTTTTGTCTGGTTCCGCGATGCACACGCCTCATGTTGACAAACTCACTTTACAAACAGTAATTTTTCTCGCTTCATTGGCGTCCCGTCTCGTCTGGTCTGGAAAACCCCATGGCCCCCAGGCCCCTAAGGTCCCCCATTTTCCGTGGTAAAAAGAAGCCTGTAAAGCGAGCGTGCATGCGGTTTGTTGGCCGACTCAAGTCTGCTGCCACTGCCAGTTAAATAAATAGAAAATGAAAAGTACAACTAAAAATATTGTTCGAAAGCCGCAGCGGCGGCCAAAGCCACTCGTACTCGCACTTGGCATTTTCATTGTCGCTGACCGATTGCCCCATGTTTGACTTGCTCTACAGTTCGATAGCCAAACGGATCGAGGGGATCGGATCGCTGGGTGCGGCCTACTCCATGAGAACACAGATAAAAAATGGGAAACAAAATATAAGTTAATTGTAATACACTTGCCGAAGTTGGCCTGATTCGTTCAAAATATTTCTCAACTTATTATAGTGAGAAAAAGGGAAACAAGAGAAGACCTTAGTGGCTTTGCAAATAAATTGCTTTCTTTTAGTATCCTATTAAGAATGCTAATAAGAAAAACTGCAATAGAGAAGATGACTATTTCTTTTGAGTGTTTGTTTGTTTGTTTTTCGTTTTGACCATTTTTATTTATTTTTTGTTATTTGGTGCGCGAGTATGTCAGCCGCGGCGGCTGCAAAATCTAGAAAATTACATGCAAGCTGCGACACATTATGCGCGACGCGACAATAATATTTCTATTGGCGAAAAACTTCACACTTAATGTACTCTGCAAAGAGTCGCTAAAGAAAACCACAGATAACAAAGTCTTGAATACTCTAAGGTTACTAGAAAAATTGTAAAAAATATACATTGGTTCATTGGTTGAATTGGAATATGTATTTTTTTTACTTTTAAAATTTAATCATATTATAAGGTCATGTATGTATATACAAATCATTTTAACGGCTTACTTATCTTTTAAGTTAGAATAATTTTTATTTACACATGAGTTTGTGGAATAAAAACAAAAGGCATTTTTAGGAATTACCCCTTTCTCAGATTAATAATAATTCCCATTTAGCAGGATATATTCCTGTCAAGAAAATCGGTAATACCATTTGAAGGGTGCCACAACGAAAATGAACATACAAAAATGGAGCAAACCAAAGTCTAGCGAAGAGAACCTCGAAAGTAGTTGCATGTGTGGCACACCCCCGGGTTTTATGGGATTCTGCGAGAAGGGGGAGTGGCCACCGGCGGGGAGGAGCAGGGGGCGGGGCCAGTCAGCAGACGGAGACGCCGACTAGTCAACGCTTTAAGGTATATGCCAGCAAATAATTAAAACATATTTAAAAATAGTTCGCCATATGGGTGACGACGACTGCGGCGACGACGACGCTGAAGATGAGGCCCGGCTGGGTGACGTGGTCAGACCGCCACCCCCTGTCCCTCCCCCCTTACCAACCCCCTCGCACAAAACACCCACCCCACCGATGACAAAGCCAACAAAAAGCAAACAAATACTTGTCTGGCCGTCTACGTCGCTGTGCATTGACCGTACCGCACTTACTAAAGACATACAGATACGCGTACTCGCAGATGCAGATGCACTCGCATTCGCATTCGCATCCTAACCAGCTATCTGGGTGCACCCAAAAATCCCATCCCATCCCATCCCATCCACTTCTCTGTTGTTCTCCCTCGTGCCAAGTTCAAAATTGTATGCTCTGCACTTTCAGTTTCTTCGCCCCTTTTCGAAAGCGTTTTCCATAATAAAAGAAAAACCGAAAACATTTTCAATTTGTATTTTTTTGGCCAAAAATAGTTGTGCCAGCCGAGCGCTAATGTTATTGCTTTAGTCAAAGTGGCTAAAAAGTATCTGCCAACATCACTGTCTGTGCTCGCTATCGTGTGTTTGTAAATGTATCTGAGATTGTGTGTATCCGTGCATCCATGTCCAATTTTCCTGTTGCGATGCCGCCAGCCGATTTATTTTCATTTTGATTATATTTTTGGCACTTTTTTGTTTGGGCGTGCGAAAAAACTTACAAATGAAAACTGTAATATTTTCGACAGCAAACAAATTCCTGCTGTCTGTGTAAAGTTTGTTAGATCATTTATTAAAAGATGCTGCGATCTGGACCAAGCACTAATTTTAGTATAAGGTACAGAGAAGTGAGAGATTAACTTACCTAATGATTACAATGTTGTTTAACAGGATAGAGGATTTTTGTATATTATTTTTTGAAAGAAATCTATCGAATATACACTTTAGTTTTCATTTCTCTAGACTAAATGAAACTTATTAGGTGTCAGTAAACACAGAGCTTCAGGTTTGAAAATACCTACTTTATAAATAAACTGCTTATTTGTTTAAATAAATTCATTTTATGAAAATAGTAAGCTAATCGAAAAAATCTAATCAGAATAGATTTGAATTTTTCCGTCATTGCAACTCACTTAGCTTCACTTTGTAGTTAATCAATGTCATATCAAAGTAAATACTAATGCCGTCGATCAATTATATGTGCTTTCAATCCACTAAGCGAAAAACATACCTCACCCCAGAATCCGCACTTTGGCGGAAATTCATTTTGAAAACATGCGGCGGCGACATTTGGCGCCACCTCAGCTCAACCCCCCCTCTCCCCCTCCCCCAAAAGGGGCGTAGATCAAAGGGGATGAAAAGCGGAGACTGCGGCTGCCGCTTTTGAGTATTCGCCGGGCGTAGCGCAAATCGCGGCACTGTGTAATGGTCAATAAATTACATAGACAACGCAGAATTACAAATCGTTTTGATTAGCAATTAAAATGGCAAAAAAAAGGAAGGAAAACAAGTGGGAAAACAAAACCAGCTGAGTAGGAGAATAAAGCTGAGTGCATCTGGGCCAGGCTAACCGGCAAATCTCTTAATTACTTGGCAGTTTGCACTCGTCGTCGCTTTCGATGGCAACAGGTGCTCTCGGTCGGCGCGTTATTAACTCATTATAAAAGCATTTCAGAGCAGTTCGATTTGCTTTTGCTGAAAAGCATTTCAATTGCCTCCGACACTCGCACATTTCGAAATGCGTGCTTTTGCTGCTGCTGCTGTTGTTGTTGCTGCTGTTGCTGTTGTTGCTGTTGTTGCTGTTGCTGCTGTTGCTGCCCCTGATGTTGCTGCCGTGTCCGGCTGCTGCGACCTTCACTTGCTCTGCCAGCGGAAAGGGTGACTCAAGCGGGCAAACGGAAAATATTGTTTCCCTTACACACCATATTGACCAATAATTTACGACGGTTTTTAAACAATTCTAATTATCACTTAGTCACTAGGCCATTAAAGCATTTCAATCTAAAATTTCAATAAAAAAATTTCATAACTGAAATCAATCTGATGAAGATCAATTTAATATCTTGTGATAAAAAAAAATATTTTCTAATTAAAATAAGTACTTAGGGTAGTAAAGATTGTACATTTATAAAAACTATTACTATTACTAAAATACAAGAAGCTTTTTAACTTATTTCCAGTAATGCAAAGATTATGTCTCCTAATTTTTAATCCTAAAATATAGAAATCATATAAAAGTTCCTTATTCAAATTAATCTTTGCACTGACTCACCCCCGTAGAATATTTCTCGAGACCCCTCGTCTTGAGATCTTGTGCTGCTGCTTCTTGCAGCCTGCCTGCCTTATACAAACACTTTTTGAGATGCAAATTTAATTTGCTAAATGATTTTGCCGGGACGGGCGGATATCTGGGAAACTTGTTTTGCGTGAGTATGCAATTAATGCCCGTCAGCCGTATATTCCATCTATCATAATTTTATTTATTTATTTAGTTAATGAGAATTTTTTCCAACGATTCCCCAGTGAGTGTGATTCTACATGTGCGCTGGCAGATGCAAATGTCACAAAAGTCAGCCTTGTCACGCCGATTGGATGGAATTAGCTGGGCTTGGACTCTAACGGAAGGCCATAGAGTAACCTTAATCGCAAAGACTGTGAATAATTCCGGGAATTAACTGCCGAAGGAAACTCAACCGCAGAGGCTCCAGTAACGCATCGATACTTCCGCAGCAAAACGAATAAAATTAAATTAAAATAAAGTTCCAACACAAATGTTGGTTCCCACCAACATTCTCAGACATAACTGTGTGGCATATGGCATATCTCTAAGTACGTTTATCGGGGGGCACACACACTGACCAAGGGGCGATATGCGATACATTTGTCATACTCTACGCCGTGAGTGGAGAAACTGCCGAGATCAGCTGGTTCCCCAATCCCCAATCCGGGTTCCGAGTCCCGATCCCCAGCATGAATGGGCAGAACTTGATATGATATTTCGCCTTTAATTCCTTCACTTGAAAGTTGTCCATTGTCCGTCAATTGAGTCATCATCATTATCCGTGCACCACTGTCCACAGGCCTGATAATAAACAACAAAAGCATTTCGGGGGCTATGCTGCGGTTATGGGATACACAAGCGGACATACAATACTCCCGGCCAGAAATGTGGAAAGGGGACTGGGGATGGGGATGGGGACAGGAACTGGACTGCCCGACAAATGTTTCTCATAAACCACAATACGATATCTGCAAACAGAACTTGAGAACTTGAACTTGAACGGCGAAACAAATGCGAGGAAAAGTTTCTTATCAGCGATATACGATTCAGTTCTTGTAAGCAATAATATTCCAACCTTATTCTGATCAATTCAACGGACAAGCCGAAGGGGCTTGCCACGGCCTGTATGATTTCAAATAAATAGAGATTGTGTTGAAAATATTCACCCTCACAAAAAAGGCTTTTTATTTAATACTTTTAGAATGAGTTCTGGGCCCATTAAAATCCGGTCTATTTTACCTTTATGGGTCGCACCATAATGGTAACAGTTTTGTAGCTATACGAGAAGCCCTTCCACGTGCCCCAAGTGATTCCAGAGGCATACAGATCGGGATCGGTGTAGTTACCACCCAGGTAGGCTCCATTCAGATTGCTGCGAGAGGATATAGTTGAGATCGGGATCTAAAGGTGCAAGGTTTATCAATTATTTTACCTGGACAGGCAGTCCTTGTACCACCAAGCTCCATGGAACCTGGCGGCACAGTTGGTGGTGCTATTGTCGTTATCCCTGTCGAAGGTGCTGAAGGGCTGGTTCAGATGGTAACTCAGACTATCCCCGGCGGATCCACTGTACACGCCGAGCTGTGTCAGCGAGTAGTTACTGTAAACGTTGCCCACGTTGAACAGGTTGTAGTGGGAGTATCGCTTCTCCCCACTGAAGTCTTCCATTTGGATGTACAGCTCCTGGGGTTCGAGGGCGGCAATCTTGTTCAGATTGTTCAGACCGAGGAAGAAATTCCCCTTCAGGTCACCGAAACCCGCCTGATAGGAGGTCCAATTGCGGAAGAAGTTCGTCTCCACATTTACTCTCCGTTGGACTACCAGCCAACCTTTTCCGGCAATGGTCACATCACAGTACACCTCGATCACGTCGTTGCCCACTTGGATCTTCTGGACACCACTCTTCTTGGGCTTCAGTTCCTTGCAGGAGGAGGAGTACTTCTTGAACGTCTGTATCTCCACATTATCACCGGTTTCGGCACTGGCCAAGTAGATTAGGCCTAGCGAAAACACGCAGAGTACGAAGCAAATGGGTTTCATTTTGCGGGCCCGAATCGACTGTGAATTTAATTGGCCCAGGGACGCCGTTATATATCAGTTGTTTTACCCCTTATCACAATTCTACTCTGGCGAAATTGCGAGGAAGTCATTTGATAATGCCCTTTTTGATTAAATCGCTACTAGATCTTGTAGTATCAGAATTTGGTTATTGATAAGAGGGTTAGTCATTTACAAGGGGACTTTTATTTAAGTTTGAGGCGGTGGGTAAACCACCAGTGCTATTTATACCCGTTACTCGTAGAGTAAAAGGGTATATTGTATTCGTGCAAAAGTATGTAACAGCTAGAAGGAAGCGTTTCCGACCCTATAAAGTATATATATTCTTGATCAGGATCACTAGCCGAGTCGATATAGCCATGTCCGTCTGTCCGTCTGTCTGTCCGTCTGTCTGTCCGTCTGTCTGTCCGTCTGTCTGTCCGTCCGTATGAACGCTGAGATCTCGGAAACTATAAAAGCTAGAAGATTGGCATTTTGCATGCAGATTCTAGGAGTTCCTACGCAGCGCAAGTTTGTTTCAAAAAGGTGCCACGCCCCCTTTAACGCCCACAATCGCTTATATACGATTTTTAAAATTTAAATATTTCGAAAAAGTAAAAATGCAGTTTTATTGTGTTTATCAATACCTATCGAAATGTAGAAGAAATTTTTCAAATCGGACCATTCGTTAAAAAGTTATGCGTGATCAAAGTTTCTATCTCCATCTCCCTCGCACTCCCTTTACCTGAGTAACGGGTATCTGATAGTCGGAGCACCCGACTATAGCGTTCTCTCTTGTTTTGGGTTAAGTTATTATTTTTAATATCATAATTTATTTTTATTATACCAATGCCTATTTAAACATCTGACAAATTGTACACTATTCAATAACATTGGTCGGAAGTCTATTCTAAACAACTACAAGCTTGTACAAATGTCGAGTTCATATCTTTAAACAAACAAACGTTTTCCTCAGAGATCGACTGCTGATATTGCCATGGAATATCATATATTACGTATAAGACTCGGAAACACTTCGTTCGGAGCGGTGGACAAATATTTACGGAGAATCCATCGCCGGAGGGCCACCCATTTCCTGTATCTTGGCAGTTGGATGCACTTTGGACAAGTGTCAAAAGGTGTCACCGAAGGTGCTACCACTCTCCCTCCCATTTTTTTCTTGTTATTTTAGTTGTTCTTGGTTTTTGACAACTTTTGGAATAATGTGACAGGGCCTGACGGCTACCAAAGTTGGCCTTTTGTCTCAGCACCGCCGCCAGACAGCAACTACCATCGAGAGGTGACAACTCGAACGACAGCAGAAATAAGAAACAAGAGCCACCTACAAAGTGTACACACATACCCTACTCCCACTCCGACTGGTTCCTAGTTCCTACTCCCTTTCCCCCTTCCCCAAACATATGCCGCACCACTATTCCAAGCAACAAACAAACAAACAAATGAACAAATATTTGCCACAAACTGCGGGGAAGACAAACGCAAGAGGAAAACGACTGGGAGCCTGAAGAACGATAAAATGGCATTTATGATAAATACATAACACTCGATGTTTACCCACTCATTCAGAAAGACATATAGAACACCGAAAGAAATGCTTATCATATTCAAATCAACGTATTGTTTATATGCTAAAGATACAAACTTGTATTTCTTTTTTAAGAATCTGAAAGTAATTCATTTGTTAGAGAATAGAATGGAATATCAAAATATTTTAAAGATACAAACTTGTATTTATTTGTTTAAGAATCTGTATGTTATTATATTAAACAGATTTTTATGTCTTACAAAGACAAGTTTTATGAAAAATATAATGACTAATCGTGATCAAGCATCACAAAAGCAAAACAATTTTATTTGTTCTGTTTGTGTGACTGATTTAAATGTAAATAGGTGGCTACTAATCTATATGGTTATTTCACTCTAATACGAATTGTGTGAAAAATCCAATGAGCAATCATGATCAGCCTTACAAATGGGTAAGACCACTATGAATGACTTAAATTTTAGTATTATTTTGTTAAAAATTTCTTACTTCCAGCACCAAAAACACAGCATAGTTTGCATAGTTCTCCTGTTTAAATCTAGTTTAACCGCATAATGAAACCTTTTTTTTTTTGAGTGTATGATAAATAGGCTACAGACGTGTTGTCTACGGCTTTTGGCACAGCAATGAAGAATGGAGGCAAACCGAATGGGAATAGGAGTTGGGAGTTGAGCCACAGAAACAGAACAGAATTCAAGTGTCAGAGTGACAGTTTCGAAATTGATTGCAGCAGCGGCAATAGTGTGTGCATTGGGCTGGTAAATAAGGCAGCTTTAAACCGACTTAACCGAGAGCCATTGGGGTTATCTAATAGAGCCAGAGATAGACATCCAGATAGCATACCCCTGCCCCATATCGATAGCAACTTGTTCAGATGATTGACAGGCGACACGTGGTCAGCTCCCTGGAGTTCATGCGCCTTCGATTATCGCGATCACGTCGGGCCTCCGGCATAAACGATATTTGTCCGCAGAGCCTACCTAGCCCATTTCCAGCTCCACCGATGACAACAGAATATAAATTAGAGGTGGAAAATTGCATAAATTCCTGACATGCCTACGCGTATGAGAAATGAATCGATACCAATCAAGCCTAGAAAAACTTTGGTGGCCCAGGCAAAGACCAAAAATTATTGGAAGTACGGGACGCCGCCTGTCAAATATCGCCAAACAAATTGACATCGAGGGGAGTGCGGAACTAACGAACGTTGCGAATGCCACGGAACAGGAGAATAAAGAAAATTTATGGTCGAGTCCTGCAACGAGAGCAAAAGGTGACCAGGCTGCCCCAACACCTGGAACCAGGCCATACATGGCGAAAATATGTTCTAAGCTAAAGAATGTGGTTCAGAAACTGAAAAATAATACTTTTTTATATGTTAAGTTATATGTTCAATCTAACAACCCTAACTACATATATATATTTTTTTTTCGTGCGGAGTCCTACGGCCCACTTACAAAATTTGTTAAAGCTAAGCTGTGCTGAAAATTGTAGAACTACTTTATTTATTGATCACTCCGAATTAATATCATATAAAAGAAAATATATATATTTTTTTTTTTTTATTTGAACAGTATTACTGAACAGTATTTCGAGCAGTGCTGGAGTAAATAAATGAAGTGCCATGTGAAAATATTTCACACGTGGTAGGGCGAAAAATGTTCTGTGGGCAACAATTTGTGATTGCGGTGCTCGGCAATCGAGCTGTTGGAGTGCCGGATTGCCGGATTGCCTGGGCTGTTTAGTGGTTGTTGGGTCTTATTTGGTCTCCATTAGATACAAATCGGCGGTGCTGTTGCGGTTCATTAATTCCGCGGCGTTTGACAAATGCAGCGCCAGGAAACGACAACCACAAAACCAAGGCGACCGATGGACTGATTTGAATACATCGCTGCCAACGTTGTGCGGGCCATTTGCATTTTTAAACGATTTTCTCATTTGGGTTCTTTGCTTTTCTGTTTTCGATTTTTTTTTGTCTTGCTTTACGGATTTCTTGTTACCGCTTCAATTATGTAAAGAGCGGTCGACATTTTTTCGTTTGGGGTCGCCGGCTTTCGGGGACTGTAGTCCACCCCCCACCCCATTATTTTGGTGAGGGGAATCCAGTAGAAGATATGTACTCACATAACTGCACATGTTCCTCTTTCTCTGGCCACGCCCCGTACATAATTCCCCAATGCCTCCGATGAGCAGAAGACACGGGTATATTTATTGGGGGCAGGGGCAGGGGCAGGTTGTTTCGGTGGCCTGGATAGACCCCCAACACTTACGTGCCCGACACAGTATGAAAATTAATGTTGGCAATCTGTAAAATCCTGTAAAGCGTAACTCAAACTCGCCACAAAAAGACACAGGAAAACACACGCGAATTAATAAGCAACGGAATGCCCAGTGATGGGAACTTGGCCAATCGCATCGATGGAAGCCACGATGAGGATCTTCTGGGTCTCCTTGTTAACGACTACCTATGTGAACCAAGGAAGCACCTCAAAAAGTTATCCGATGACAATGGTGTATCTCTTTCCTACTTCGATATTGTTTGCTTTCTGGAGAGCAAAGATCATCATTTCATTTATCTTATTTTTCAACTAATAACTTATCTGTTTTTAAAAAAAAGTTTACTTAGTTTTGCCTAAATCGAAAACTATTTTTTTAAACATTCATTATATGCCATCGCTAGTCGACAACTGCCAGAAACATTTTTTTATTAATTTATTTTTGTTTGTTGCTAGGCATTAGGTCTATTACAAAATTGTATTTTTAGTTTATGCAACTCAGAGGATAGGCGAATTTGATATATGCCCTGACATTTTTTAATGGAACTCCACAAAACAAAATGTAGAGTTGGAAATGATTCTTTAATTATTTAAAATTATCTAGACTTCCAAAGTATTTCCTAAATATTTGATGATTAAAAGTGCATTGCAACTTCGTTGCAGGCCGTCCTCGAGATTTTTGAAAATTTTAATTAAAATTGTGGCCGCGGAAATTTGTGCGCGCTTCGGTGTGGAAGGAAACCCCGTTCCATCGTTCTTTTAGCTGGCTCCGCAAGTCCTCCCCCCTCCCTGCTGCCCCACCGAAAGAGCTGCATTGCTGCTGTTGCAAGTTGCATGTTGCATGTGTTGCAGGTTTTACAAGACGGGCGACAACGCTTGTTCAACATGCCTGTTTCTTCTTTTCCTCATTTTGCACTCACACTCGCATCCCAGCGAAATGATCGACGACGTTGCAAAGTATTAAAGTCAGCGCGACACAATCTGCATATTAAAGGAAAATGAAAAAATACAGCAACAGCAACTTGTTGCACAAATACCAACGAATGCACTCAGAGCTACAGTGGTACTTCATTCGAAATTTAAGTTTTGTACTATAGAGAAAGAAAGTTTACACGATGTAAGTATTACGAAAAGAGGACAATTAAATGTTTCCGAAACTATCAATTTCAGATTGATTTTTATTTTTATAGATTTT